TTTTTTTCATATTAGAGGAATTAATAAACACAACATTTAACATTTGCATACTCTAAGCGGTAGAATAAAAATAATATCTTGTCTTAACAGAGGTGTACGTATAACAAAATGAAGTATAGAAAAAAATGATTACAAAAGTCATCGTCATCGCGTTACGTTAATCAAACCGATTTCTATTCAAAATAAGAAGTCTGTTCGAAGAATTTTTTTCTCCGTTGAATACCTCAAACTGTTGGCTACAAAACGTCCATAGAACGTTTCTTTGAATATAGCATACATTTGCAGAGAAATAAAGAACAATTAGGTGGCCCTCAACTTTTTGTCCTTTTTTCATCATCGCATTACGCCATGTATTTTTCCTATAATTTTCAAACGACTCGCTCAAACGAGCTCATATTTTCAGGAATTTTGCAGAGGACAGAGATACATCTTACAACGAAAGAACAAACCTTCTGGGCAATCTGATTGCTGAGAAAAGTTAATAAAATTGTAGCCAAAACGCCATCGTGTTACGCTCGCACAAGCTGATATATATTTCATCTAATGATTGTTTGTGAGATACGAAGACAATATTTAAAGAAGAAATTGATCTTATTTTTTAAAATACTTTAGAGAACAACAAAATATTGTTTCATTAATTATCACTGATATTGATCAAATCAAACAACCAATAAAATACATAGCTGGTTTAGATATAAGTTTTGTTAAAACCAATGATAAGGCAGTCGCATCGATGGTTATTTTTGAATATGAAACATTAAATATCGTAGCTAAAATAAGTGTTAATTGTAATATGAAAATTCCATATATAGCTAGTTATTTAGCATTTCGTGAAGCTCCAGTTTTTATGAAATTAATTGATATTCAAAAAGAACATTGTCCTCATTTAACACCACAAGTTATTTTAATAGATGGAAATGGTGTTTGGCATCCACGTCGTGCTGGTATTGCTTCACATTTTGGTGTTTTAAGTGGAATTCCATGTTTCGGTGTATCGAAAAATGTTCTTTATGCCGATGGTATTACACGAGAGAAAATTGAAGATTTATTAACTGAAAAAGCACCCGAAGAAAATCAATATATTGAAGTTATAGGTGATAGTGGAAATGTTCTTGGCTTAGCTTATAATGTAACTGGCTCTGTAAAAAATGCTGTTTATATCAGTGTTGGACATAAAATAACATTAACAACAGCTTGTGATTTATTCAAATCAGTAACTAAATATCGTAATTGTGAACCAATACGACAAGCTGATTTACTTAGCCGAGAAATGGTTGGAAAATTTTCATAAAATGAACTTTTAAAAAAATGTTTCTCTACTAATCTTGGATATCGTTAAATAAAACTTAATCTGATCTTTGATTTAAAAAAAAAGAACTTTTATTAATATATGAAAAGTACCCTGCATTAGACTCTTCAACCGTTTTTTTGTCTTCGTACTTTTTATTCAAGATTCTTTTAAAAAACAGAAAATTCATTTTTACATTAATATAAAAGAACATGAAAACGGCAGACAATTTGAGTAACTTTGTATTGTGCCATCGTACTAAAGCTATATGTAGTGTTGCACGGTTTCATTTAACAACTTTAAAGCTGCTCTGAAAAAAACGGTATTCTGCAGAACTTCGAAAAGTTTCCGAGAACTAAAACGACATTTAATCTTTTTACAAGGAGGGTGTGGGTGTAGGTATGGGTGTGTGGGTGAGGGTGAGGGTGTGGATTAGAATAGTATTCACGCTCACCCGCACACCCATACTCACACCCACAGACACACACACCCACACCATACACATCCACACCTAACAGTTCTTTTGAAAAGAACTGGTGTAAAAACTATATGAAATTCCTGTGTCCCAATATGTAAACAAACCAGTTCCTGAAAAAAGAACTGGTGCATAGACCCGCTTCTCGGAAAAGAATCAATTCATAGAACTGGGAGTTGTCACAGAGCTATTGACAATGTAATTGATAAGAGAAATTTTATTTCAATCATAAAAATATCTCAATATTCAATATTAGTCTTCCATAAGGAAAAGGACATTATCAATTTGAACTGCTAATTTTTATCCAAAATTCTCTTTCAAAAATTGACCAGAACAGTTTCTTTTGTGTACTCAAAAAGTGAGTACACTATAGAATCGGTCAGTGTGTCCGTCCGGTCGTTTACACGATAACTTTTGAAAGAAGAGTCCGATCGCGATGAAATTTTCTAAACAGTTTAGTCTCAACAATATCTCGGTCGAGTTTGAAGATGAGAATGATTTGCCGAACCATTGCTGAGCTATTGCAAAAATAGTCATTATTCCCTATGCTTTCCGATACGAAGATCGACCTTTCCCCGTTTTCGTAAAAAACTTTTCCTATCATAGTCAAATAAAACCCCAACTATTATATACCAATCGATAGAGAATTTCACGAGCTACAAAATGGTATATAAAACATAGAGAAACAACAAGGCTAAGTCACCTATTGCAAAGATAGTTAAACGGAAATTGGTTCTGTTTTTGTCTACGCTTTAATTGATCCACAAATAGAGCTCTATCTTCTGATCACAGAGATGATAATTCGAGGTTTTCTGGGGCGGAGAACTCGAATCTGAGCTCCACTTGCCTCAAAATCCTATTGGTTGAGCAGTAACCAATAGAAATCAAGTTATAGGAAAAACAACTTTCTGAGGGTAATTCAAGGCGAAGAGTTCAAATCTGAGCTATATTCACTCCCAAATCATATTGATTGAGCACCAACCAATAGGAATCAAGTGTTTATAGAAAAGGCTTGCCAGGATAATTTTGATGTCTAGACATTCTAGGATGACTCATCTGCCTAATTCACTTTTTGAAGTACACATAACTCTCGGATTTAAATCCGAGGTTTCCACATTTTTTGA